ATGTGATTGATTCGATTCATTCGCCAATAAACGTTTAATCTTCACTAGAGCAATACCCGTGCACAACGTGGAGAGTATCCAAACGTGGAGTGTATGCCAAACATAAACAAATATATTTAATAAATGCCAAACGTAAACAAACAAATACAATATAAAAAAATAGAGAAAGCAGAGGAAAATAAAGAACTCTTATTCCCAATCGAACACGTACCATCCAGTTACAGGTCGAGAGGTTTACCATTGCGCAAAGGCAAACTTAAATTTGTGCCCACCCCTGTGTCTCCAACCTATTTTTCCAGTAGAGCATTCTGGGTAAATGCACTTAATCAATGACGTCACGGTCGTGTACCGAATCGAGATTTTCTTTACTGCGGGCCCGACGGTCGGGTAAATAATCACATTGAAACGGGTAGGAGTTTTCCCAAACGGGGCGGGCGCGCCCGGTTTGCGCAACGTAGGGAGAAGCCTGAGATATTGGTAGTATCTTTGGTGTGCCCAGGTACCTCAGACTGTAGGATGTGGGATCCAGGTGACTGGCATTACCGTGCAGAGGGGAACTCCAGCCTCGTAATTGCACACAATCATTTTCCGTATGTGCTACGCTTGCAAAAGATTGCCGTGACTGACGGAGATAAAACAGAGAAAGAGTCTGCGTTCTTGAACGACGCTGTTCAGGGAGAGTGCCTTGCCAGCGTTGGACAGCTCAACGAGAGCGAAATTCTGAGAGGGAACAGTATCAACCGGTCGTTACAGTTTGCTAGCGACGTTATGCTTCCGGTGATCGGCAGTGAATACGTCTCACCAGGATGTCTGATCACTCTACCCGATTACTTTCTAAACAGCATCAGGGTAAACGTCGAAAAAAACAGACCGCCGAATCGACGGAAGAAGGTTTTGACAATTGGTTTCAATAGTGCCACTCTGCTTCTTGATTTCTGTGTAACGTGGCCCCAGCAAATCAGCAAAGATCCCATCGATGGCTTTTTGTCAAGTTTTATTTCGAAGTTGAGCTGTTTTCGCTTCCATACCCATCCCACTGGCAGCGTGCCAAAAGCAGACGCTGTGTCACTTTGCGTGGAAATCAAGCCGAAATGCGGATTCTGTCCGTCGAACACGCGCCTCTATCCCATCAA